GGGAGTTCTCCCATCATTCCTCACGACTGTCCTGCTCCCGGATGAGCAGACTCGCTGCGGCCCAGTTTTTCTTCATATTTGTGGTTTTGCAGCAGGTGAAGAAAGTTTGGTGTAACCTGCAGATATCTCATGAATGAATGTGTGACGGGGTTTCACTTCAGAGTTAGTGTAGTATTATAAACATACTATTATATTTACCATTAATGTTTTGAATACATTTTTATTTTTATATTTTCTTTTTATTTTAATTTTAGCTTGTAATTTTGTTGTGTTTTTGTCATTTGTAGTAGTTTTTTGTGTATACATATATATATATATATATATATATATATATATATATATATATATATATATTCCATTTTCATTTTAGTAATTTTGCGTTTTTGTCATTTTTATTTTTTATGTCTAGTTTTATTTTTTTTCCATTTTTAGTTAATTTAGTACAAATTAAACTATTTTTAAATAAAGTCGTTTTTTATATAAAGTTACCGTTTATTTGATTATAATTTATGAGTTTGATCATATCGAACTTTCTTCTAGTTTTTGTTAACTGTAACAACCCTGCTTCTGGTAATTGATTTGATCTAATAACCACAGACCGTGGGTGTCTCCCGCATCTTGCGCACAGCTCTGCTCAGGTGAAACATGAGACGCACCTGTCTTACCTGTTTGAGCGCAACACAGCCTGAGACATGTCTCGTCGCAAGCCTCCACGAACAGGCTTCTTGGATCTACAGATGTTTGTGTGTTTCCTCCGGCGCACTAGGTAACGCAGTCATGATGCATCACAATAGGAAGTACTCACCACCGCGCTACTGCGCCGTCGGGTCACCGCTAGCCCTGCCTCAGCTGAACCGATTACCCATCTTTCGGGTGGAAGAAGCTGAGCTGATGGAGAAGAATTCACCGAAAGCCAAATCCAGAATGCGCAACGCCAAGGTGAAGGCGGTGAGGAGAGCTCCGTCTCCCCAGAGGCCCCGCGTCTTTCCAAACCCCGCGCAAAGCGACGCGCTACTGAAGGTGGCAGAGAACGGGGCAGCCGGACAGCGGTCTAGAAAGAGGGGCTTCAAACCCCCGGATGTCAGGACGATATTCGAACCTTCGGCCAAAGACCCCCGCGTGAAAGAGGAGAAAGGAGAAGGACACACGTTTTGTGAGGACGCGACGTACGCTTGGTGCGACGTGTGTTGCTCGTATATTTTTCACGGTGGCTTGACATGTACAGGTGAGAACTTTTATTTTTATTATATTATTACACGATTATATTATATTATTAGTCTAGACAAGGTCGATTCATCACCATATTGTGATGTTCATCAAGACACTTGATGCTGCTCCTGTAGTTAAAAAGTAGGTAGGTAAATAAAAATCATTACATTATAATATCTCATAAACACATCATAAACTCTATGCATGTTCTTGAGATTCCTCACACACCACACACTCATTTACAGGCATGCTGACAGACTGGTTCGGCCTTGTAAATTCATTGTGTTGCACCTTGTTTACCCGCAATTACTTTACTTGTCACAAATATGACTAATAATTATACATGACAATGCAAATAGCTAAGTGTAATAGTAATTCATTTGACCAAATCCAGGTCTCAAATTCTATAGAAACTGATCATTTGCAGGTGAAATGGTCACTGGCAGTGACGGTTGACGTTTTCATTCCTGCCTGAATGCCTTGCATTGTTCCCAGTAGTGAAAACATTTCTAAAAATCATATGCAAAGCATTATCTGCTTTGCCCTGCAGCCAAATTTTGTATTGTAAATTTTGGCATCCTAAAAAAAGCATGATTATACTGATGGCTAGCAGTGAAAGGGTATTTCTTTGAGTTTTTGATTAAATTAGACCCTGAGACCAATGAATTCATTCTCTTTAATATGGCTCTCTGTCTTGAACTGCCTTTGTGCAGAGGTTGTCCATTCACAAGTGTTAGCTCAAATGGAACAACTGGACAAAGGTAACTTTCACTGAATGTTCTGGCTGCTCGACTCGAGTGATCAGGTAATTGAAAGCGAGAAAGTCATTGGTTTTTGGTTTGACTGATTAGCTGGAAAGCCTTACTAGTCTGTAATTTTGTTATTAGCAAATTTTAAGGGGCCACTTACAGATCCTTGAATATGTGGGCAGAGAAAACATTCACTAACTCATGTTTTCTGTGAGAGTAGTGTCTGTTTTGATGATGTTAATGTGGATAATGAGTTTGCTTGCTTTGGTTTGGTGGTTGTTAGACTTGTTTAGGTTTGTAGGTGCATTGGTGTGGGTCAGTGACCATGTTTATATGCACATGATTAATTGCCATATACTGACATATTTCATTTTCTATAAAACTAAAGACAGCAAGCATATCCCTGTATAAACTGATATTGTGTGGGATGCAAAAGTAATCGAAATAATCTGAAATATATTATAAATGTATTTAAAAATAAAATCAAAAATATTAGCTGAAAAATGTAAGCTTAAAAAAATTAATAAAGTTTAGAAATAAATAAGTTGAAGTCGAAGTACTAAAATTACTAAAACTGAAATAAAAATAAACTAAAGCTAATTAGAAATAAAAGCTAATAAAAATGACAAAAGCATATTTTAATTATTAATAAAAAATTAACTATAATTAATTGAAAAATATAAAAATAAAAGCTAATTCAAAATATTAGTAAATACTATAATAGTACATAAATAATACTAAAATAACACTAGAATGACTAAAATTCACTCAGTAACATACACTGTTCATTTGCATATATACAAACAAAAGTATTATGAAAAATGGTAAAAGTACATTCAGAATATGCCGATTACATGTACATTATACGGGAATATTCCAATAGCGATGAAGCATATTAATGTAATATACTGTACATGCTGTTTGGAAAGTGCATGGAACGTGGTCACTGACAGTTTCCTCCTTGTATATCTTGTGTTTTTTGCCACCTGTAACATCAGCAATGGTTGTGATGGAGGTTGCTATTGGTCATAAGGACTTAATGAATCTTTAATGCAGGGAAAGTAAAGCTTTTCGGCCTTTTAACTGGTTTTCACTGTAGCGTCTCTGTATTCTGTGGGATTTCTCTTCACTGCAAATAATAGTCTGTATGTACAGTATACCTAAGCAAAATGAACAAAGATACCTTTTTTCCATCTTTGTGGGTCACGTTCCTTTGGCCCTCTAAGCTAGACTGCATTGTGTGCTGCTATTTGACACCCACCTGTCGGCTCCCCTAATGCCCATCTGTTTGTTTGTGTCATGGCAGTGACAGTGTGTCTAGAGAAGGCACACCGTCCTGTCACAGCACAACCTCAACCAGCTGACGCAGTCGCAGGGGAACCACGGAGGCCACTGAACAACTGCACACACACACACACTCACTGGAGCAGGGGGCTCAATGACAGGAGACCACTAGCGGTGAGTAGTCAGAAGCCATAATGCAGGGAAGACATTTCAGGGGTTGAAGTGAGACTTGATGTTGCTCTAGTCATGGGTCTGGGGAAAAGCTTTGCAAGAACTTTGAGAAGACTTACTGGAATCCTCTACCGCTTCCCAAAAGCGATGCGGCGCTCCAGGCGACTGGAAGATAGTCTGCTGTGGAAGTCATCCGGTGGGTCCAGATCTCTTTGCTTTTTGTAGTTTTATCGTTCAGGCAAGTGGAATTTAGATGACGACTTCATACTGATGAGGACAGATATAGTGTCATTTCTTGCACAGACATTACTGACCTTCTTGTCTTTTAATTTATTTATTTTTTAGCTTTTTTATTATTAGTTTGAATGTAGTCAGCTATTAACATTTGAACTCTTGCTAATACAAAATAGGTATTGATAATCAATCTAGAATTTTACATTTTCTGAAGCAAATTGTATGTGGTTGCTTACTGGCCTAAGTCAAAACAGTCATTCTCCAATGGAAAATATTTTAATAATAAACTTAAACTACACCGGTCTTCATTGCATATGGCAGGGGTTTTCAAACATGGGGGCTCAAAAGGGGACCATGGAAATGTTTAGAGAACAAGCATTAAAAAAAATAATGATCATAATATAATAATAATTAAAAATTTGTATTTAAAAAAATGTAAACAAAAAAGCAAATAAATAAATAAATAAAACTAGCAGTGAAAATTATATTCAAATACATTTTAAAATGATAAAAATAAACTAGCAAATACATAAATAAATATACATATATATTAAAATAAATGTGTAAATAAGTACAGTACTATAATGAGTAATTACAAATGTAATAATGTAACTTAATAAATACTAAATATTTGTAGAAATAATATTTTAGATATATTTAGAATATACATTTTTCATAGTAGAAATTGGGTCTTTATACAAGAAACTATATGTAAAAAGTGTGAACTGTGATTGTTCCCTTAAAGAGCCATTTCTACCTTATTTAACCTATAATATTTAGTTTTGTTTATAGTTTAGTTATTTTTATACTTTAAATCCAGTTAATTAAGATGTTACCACTTTTTTCAGTGTAGATGATCATATTTAGGGATCTGTGGCATCTAAAAGATTGAAAATCTCTGACATGTAGAAGCAATATATTAAGTTTAGTCTTAAACTCAAATGCATTTCCAGCGAATAATGGTTTTAGGATTAAACTGAATCTAAACTGTGATGTTGAGCAATGCTGTTTCTGTTACTGTGGCCAGAGATGTTGCAGAGAATGAAGAATGAAAGAGAGATTAATTCGGATGTCCTGTCTATTATTCAGCACATCTGAATTAATAAGTTAACATGGTGCTCATTCATTATCTTCGGCCCTGACACCTGTTGCTCACTAAACAGTCATCATCTACTAGACAGTGATTATGTTGTGGTCTGTCTGTGTGTGGTATCATTGTGTTGATGTGTCGCTGGGGGCCATGGTGTCTCAGTTGATGTAATGTAAACACTCACACTTTTCAGGCACAAATGCAGTGCTAAGTAAAACATCTGCTGAAGCACAGAGCTGAGTCTAAACAGCCGACACTGATGTGGGAAGCGGTTCACGATAACATGCCAAATAGTTCGCCGGTTTAAGTCATGCAAAAGAATGGAGTGTCTTCTTGATGTTTTGTCACAGGCAGGTGTTGCTGAGCATGTGTCCTGTCTGCGGTGTGTTGTTTCAGCGGTCCGATCTAATCCCAGCACCAAGCCGATCTGGAATGGAGATGACAGAATGTGGCTCTGCCTTGAACAGAAAACAACATGAGAAAACAAACTCTATTGCTAGTTACCAAAAAAGCACAGACACAGACAGTAAAAAATAGTTATCTGTGATCAAATGAGCAAGGACAGGCTCGGCTACATGTTTAGTCGCCACTTGCAAGTTTCCACAAACAGACTTTGATATGAGAGAGGTATTTGAGGAGGAAATGGCACTGTCAAAAATCAGCAACAGGCGACATAGATGTCATTTTGTCAGTCTGGAGGACATATTTTATCAATCACATTTAAAAGGGTTTACAGATGTTTCAAGATTCAACATAAGCTGCTTCATATTGTGCTCACGCTATATTTTGTGAGGATGGAATAAACATGTGGACAAGTAATAAAAAATGGTGAAAGAATGACACTTCCACCTGTCCAAAACACACATCTGTGAAATAAATCTAGTTAAAAGTAAAAGTAGGGAGAGTGGAAAACAGCCTGGTTGACGTTCACAAAGAGCCTGTACTGACATCAGAAGCTGCATTCTTATTTAATTACAGATTATGTTTTCCTTCTTCCTGGTTGAGTCAATCACAGTTTATGGCTGCATCCCAATTTGCATACTTCACTACGTATTATAAGTACATACACTTGTTCAAAAGTTTCTCATTTTAAGAAATTAATACTTTTATTCTGTAAGAATGCATTAAATTGATCAAAAGTGACAGTAAAGACGCTTATAAAGACATTTAAAAAACCTTATTTCAAATAAATGCTATTCTTTGAACAAGAATCTTGAAAAAAAAATGTATCATGGTTTCCATTAAAATATAAAGCAGCACAACTGTTTTCAACATTCATAATAATAATAAATGTTTCTTGAGCAGCAAATCAGCATATGAGAATGATTTCTGAAGGATCATGCGACACTGAAGACTGGAGTAATGGTGCTGAAAATTCAGCTTTGATCACTTGAATAAATTACATTGTAAAATATATTCAAAGAGAAAACCATTACTTTAAATTGTAATGATATTTCACAATATTACTTTTTTCTGTATTTTGATGGTGAGCATGAAACACTTTAAAATTAAAAAATCTTACCAACCCCAAAATTCTGAACGATAGTGTACTTTAATGGTGATGGGAATGCATTTTTTATTAATGTAGTAAGCCAAAATTGGCACATACTCATCATAAAATTATGTCATCATAATTGTCATTGTGGTATAATGACTATATTATTCTCTGTATTATTTAGAATGGATTGTATGTTGGTTTGCTGTGTATATTTTCTTGCTCAAGCATATTATTATTCTTTTATAGTGTTAGTGAAAGCAAATGCGATGATTTTACTCTGAAATGAACCTTATCAGTATTTTGTGTGAGGGTGGTAAATATTTAGAAAGTGAGACGATGCTGTTGTGGGAATCACGCTTTTGTGTTATATGAGCTGTCGGTAATGTGTTTGTGTGGGAAGCGTTTAAGAACTCGAATGACTTGTTCTCTGTCAACATGCAAAGTTTTAGAAACAGAGTCCCAAATATTGCACCGTCACACCACAATCTAAATACGGGACAGTACTGTATTGTGTGTGTGTGTGTGAAGTTTTGCTTCTCGGGCAGGTTCTGATCGATAGCGCCGTCCTTCATTACGGGAAGTGCAATTAAGGAAGAGACAGGCCTGCACTTCCCACCCGCCCCAGAGACCTGAATTGATTGTGTGTGTGTGTGTGTGTGGGCATACATTAGCTCAGTTCCTACACAGTCAAGACCGCAGCTCTGTGCAAAGAACGGCACTTTAAACAACCATTACCCATCATGCCCCAGTATAAAAGATCCACTTTCATTACACCCTATCATTGCTCATCCCCTGTGTCATTCTGCGCTCTGCTGATCTTTTAAAAGAGCAGCGTTCCTCCTGCTCCCCAGAGGAATATATTATTGCTCAGAGACGATGGCATCTCAGAGATGTTACATTTAAGCATCAACTTTGTCCTCCTAGATGTCTAAAATTCTTAAGGAGAAATATGCAAAGACATATATAGGATAAATGGTAAGTGCTGACATACAGCATAGTAGAGTTATTAAATGAATGTGCTCACATAACTCACATACTTTGGTCTTTAAACAAAAAAATTCATCAAGAAATGTTTGAGTTCATTTTGAGATCTCTGGCTTCTGATTCTGGTAATCTGAGCTCAGTTTGAGATTTCTGAGATCCTTCTTAGTCTAGAAGAGAGATGTTTGTGAGTTTACAGGGGACCATGTGCTCTCCATTCAATCGAACTGATGTCTAGCAGAAATATTTAAGATATTAACAAGATCTTATTTGTAATTTCCTTGACTGTTTAAGAGGCTGAAATTCAATTTGGGTATATAAAACGCAGAGAAGCAGAAAGTGGATTATAGATACAATGTGCAGGATTTAGATGTCTGTCAGTACAGACCTGAAAGTTGACAGGACTGATAAATTAGTGGAGATAAACCAGCTTTGCAAGATCAAAATTGGGCATGTAGTCTTAAATAAAAATAAAAAGATTTGTGGTGTTATGTGCATAAATGTCAGTTCTGAGGTTAACATATAGTAGTGAACTCCTTCAAAAAAGTTCACTTCATTTTCTTTAAACACAAACACATTCAAAATTTAATCTAGGGTGTTTCAAATTTTTGTTTAATCAAATGCCCTCTAAAATGAGAATTCTATGGCCTGTTTTCTGTTACTAAGTAAAAAATAAAAAAGGTATTTGTGACATCTCATAATTCAGACTTTTTTTCCTTGCATTTGTGAGTTTGCACCTCACAATTTTTTATTTTTTCTTCGACTTTTTTTTCTTAGAATTGCAATATAAACTTGCAGTTGTGTGTTAAAGTTAAAATTGTGAGATATAAACTCGCAATTCTGAGAAATAAAGTCAGTCTTTTTTCCTCAAAACTGGACTTTATAACTCGCAATTGCGATTTTATTTCTCAGTTCTGAGAAAAGAAGTCAGATTACGAGATATAAACTCGCAATTGCAAGATAAAAGTCAGAACTGCGAGTTTATCTCCTAATTCTGACAATTTCTCGAGTTTATCATGCAACCAGTTGCTGTGACGTAAACTAATATGAGAACAGTAATAGTCTAATAATCAGATTAATAATTCTGAATCTTAAGGGTGATGCATCTAGGGTGTTGATAAAATGCATCTGCATGCATATTTAAACACAAAGTGCTTCCTACATCTCCTGCCATGTACTATATGTGTCCATCATTTGCTGACTGAAGCTTCATCATTTGACAGTCAAATCACCCGACGCAGCACAAAGAGAGAGAGAGAGAGTTACACACAAATGAGTTACCGTGGAGATTGCATGGACGAGAGGCAGATGAGTTTGTCCTTCTGTTCTGAGAGTGAACTGCACAGGATGAGCTCTGTTTCTGACGGGATGCTGTGAGTTAAGCGTTCGAGACAGAAAGCATCATCACTTGTATACTTGAGTGGGATGGGAGCAGCATTCTGTAAACTTTACGGCAAAATTACCCAGCAAGTCAAGCATCAGTCTGCAGGTAGGTCATAACAGTGACAGGAACTGAAAAAAAAAAAAAAACACCAAAGGGTTTTTTTTAGCTAGTGAGAAATGCCTCATGTAATCAACATTGGATGAATAAGCAAGTGTATGTGCATCATGTCGTCTGTGAACACTGGTGAGGATTGTAAAGCAGAGGATGCTCTTCTTCACTGTAAAAAATGACCGTGAATTTAACGGTAAAAGACTAAAAATGCTACAGTAAAAAACCTGTTAAATGGTTAACGGCAAATTCTCCTACTATATACGGTGAAAAACTGTATTGGACATTACATGTATTGGACATTAATTTTACAGTAGTATACCGTAGTAGTTTCATGTGTGTTACCATGATGGTGTTTAGTGTTTGTGTGAATTACACTGTGCACCTTCTATATATGTTATTATTTAAAAGCTGCTTGTGATGGGCTTTGGTTCATCATGTGACTTTCTCATCACCACCTGCATTTGGGGGTCATCAGTGTATTACAAAGGTACAAAACAGATTTCAGTACTTCAATAGGTTGGTATATTAACATTATATCAGTTAATGAAATTACGGTATTTAACTGTAAATTTAAGTTAAAACCGTAAAACCTAAAACGTTGCTACCGTATTTTTACCGTAAATTTTACAGATTTTTTTTTACAGTGTTATCGTCTATCCAATTTTATTAATTATATATCCAGTGCATTTTTTAGATAGATTTGGAAACATTTCAGCATCAGGAAGAATGCTTAATTTTCAGTAAAGAAGCTTTCACATGAAATACATAAAATACATGCATGCAAATTACATAGAAAATAAAGATTATTGTATTTTAACAATGCATTGTATTTAATGCTCAAAGCACTGTCAGTTTTATATTGTCTTAACGCACATTGTGTTTTCTTCCACTTTCCTTAAACACGTCTAAACTTTTCTACGTTAAAAATTTGCATGTGTGCCATCTTATTTGCAAACCGATATTTTGCTTTCCATTTAGCCTCACAGAAAAACCAACATATTTCAATAAATCTCCTACAGACCGGAACAAATACGATGCACTTTGTTGAGGAGAGTTGTGCTATTACTTTTCTAAAACAATGTGATAAAACCTCAGAAATGCTTTAGAAATGCCCTAGAAGACTCTAGCAACACCCTAAAAAATAATGTTGTAGCATGTTTTTTGAACTTATTAGTTAATACATACTATGGAATAACATGGCTGTCTGTTCTTGTTTTCTCTCCTCTAGGTTGTAAATACACGTGTCATGCTCAGTGCCGTGACCAGGTGGCGCTAGACTGTCATCGGAACGGATCCATTAATGGCTGCCCACTCAGCCCTCTTGCTCAGGACCATCTTAACAACAATCAGTCCTCACACAGCGTGAGTACAGAGTTTATTCATGTCTGCTTTCACTTTACATGCACATTCAGTTCAAGATCTTTGAAATAGGGAAGTTAAATGACAACAATCACAGTCATCTGATTGTTAGTGATGGTTAGGTGTGACCACAAGGGGGAGAACCGTAGCAGACAAACAACCTAAACTAGTCTCAATATTGCTTTTAACGTAGCTTGAGCAATGTTATATTCATTTTTGGTTTTGGTACATGTTATTTTAATCTTCATTGGCAGATAACAGATTAACAGTCCTTTAGTGCGGCCATTAGCAGACATCATGTGCTGAAGGTTTAAGGGTGTGTTGGTCATAGTTTGCTTATAGTAACTAATTATTGCTTTTCTTTAGTCTTTACTCTACTACGCAATGGTGTGATTTACTAGTTATTTCGCACCATATGAGTGTAAACACACACGCTCATTCCCATTGCACTTGGCTTGGAATATAACAATAGCAGGATATTACTCTTCAGCAGAATTCCTCTGGTCCCCATAGTGTCCAGTTTTGTTCTCATGCGCCTGTGCTGTGAAGACTCTCACCCCCGATGCTCTGTAAACTGTGCGGTATGAATGAAAGATGAGCTGTGTGTGTGTGTGTGACCCAGCAGGGTCAACAGACAGGTTAGTGTGGTATGTGTGCTATTCACACTAATCTAGCTCGGTCAGTTTAGTGCAATGCAGGAAGAGATATTGGAATATGTAAATTGCTGAGTTACTGTGGCTACAGAGTCTAACTGCATTGCGACTGGTTGAAATACAAAACGGATTCAAATTATTTATAAATGGGTGCATTTCATGAAAACTGTCAAGAACATGTCAGCATTTCAAAACAAATGCACCCCAAAATCAAAAATATTTTTGGGGAATTTTTTTTGGGATCGTGATATTATTTTCATGATAACTGGCCACATTTATTCCCCCAAAAGTACATTAAAGTTAAAGTACATTTGGAAAGTACTCTTAAAATAATTTGTAAACTGTAGATGCATGCTAGTATTTCTAATCTATTCTGATTTTAATTTTATTTAAATTGACATATCATTAAATTAATAATATGATTATTGCCTCACGTGCTCATATGACCCAGTTTAATCATATTTTTGACATATGAAATAAAAATTGTATGGGACACTATTCACGTTATGTAATTTGTTTATTTGTTTTATGGATGTTTAGTACATATTGCACTGTTAGATGATGCTGTATCGTGTGTGAGATCTGAAGTTGGTTCGTTAGTAATTTGGGATTAAGCATGGGTGTGTACATTCAAACCAGCTGTCTGCGTCAGTCTAAACATGGACGAGTCTAACGTTCATTTTAGTGTGCGTGTGTTTGACTCTTCATATAGACCCTACATTCCAGAAGCCCTCCTCCCCCTGAAGAGTCAGTTGAGTCAGGGCCAGACAAGGTCATACAAACCGCTGACTGCTGAGGGAGGACGGGGTGTCTACATGTAACACCCACTCGACAACGCAGAAACAAACCACTGATAAAATACTGGTGGAGATGTACATCAAAACTATAAGACACAACATCAAGTTTGTTGAGAAAATGTAAAATAGCATTTATTTCATATTTTGACTAGCTTTTATTTTTATATTTTTAGTTTTCATTTTCATTTTAAAGTTTGTAATACTGTAATGTGCTTTTGTCATTTTTATTAGTTGTTTTGAATATTTCTATGTAGCTTTTTTAATTGGTGGTTTTATTATTATTATTTTTATTCAGGTTTTTTTTTTTGTAATGTTAGTACTTCAGCTTATTTTATTTCAGTTAATTGCTGAGGCAACATGTTTTTAATCAGTATTTATATTTTATTTGATTTCAGCTTTATTTTAACTATATTTACAGGTAAATACATTCCTAATCATTATTTAACAAGTAATAACCCAAAAAAACCAAGTAATATTGTTTGTTATTTCACAGATTTGGCCATCAGAATTTAGCATCAGAACACTCCATTTTTATGAAAGATACCTTAATAAACGTATGTTTATGCTGTGCATAGTGTAAGAGTGATTCATATCTGATGTTTTCCATGATTACTGTAAAGCTGCTGGTGTAAATGTGTTTTACCTTTGAAAAAACTGCTGTTTTATGACTGTACTGTTGGATCAGCAATATTGTGTGTTGAACCTGAAAAAGAAACAGAGGTGTAAATATGATCCAAACGAAAAGAAACAAACAGACAGATGTAAGAAATAGAGTCTGTTTACATACGCACGCATCACATTAGATTCAAGCACAGACACAAACACAAACCCACAGGTGCATTGACCACAGTAATAACTAATAAGCACCAGTCCATTTCTGTAAACTCATCATTACTGTAAGCAGCAGGAGAGACCATCAAGGACAAGAACAACATAATTTTTACAGCAACACAAAATTTTATGAAACTTGATTTGTAGCCTAGTTCTCCCAAAGAAAGCCATGTTAAAGTTCAGATTCAGCACAAGTGTGTTTCAGAATAATGTGGGTCGTTCATTTTTCCTGTGAGGCAGCAGTTTGATAGCAGGCGAGAACTGAATGCTGGGAACGCTTTGGGTGGTGAAGCTGGTCCAAAATGCAAGAGGCGAAGCTTTAACTCCACCACACAAACCAAACGCCCATGTGACTCCTACTAACAAAGATATGGGGAAACGTTACACAATCTGGTCTCTATTGGTCAAGTTTATTATATGTTTAACACTGGTTTTTGTTCCTGTAAGATTTCAATTGCTGTCAGTAGTGAAGGACAGATATTTTAGTCAAAGTTCACGTCTGCAGTCTGCAGGTCATGTGAAGAGATTGTAAATCAGTTGGCTGATTCACTTAGGCTGATTTGATTTGGCTCTGCATCACATTGGGTCTAGAGTTTATGCCTGCATCATATTTCAGCCTGCAACTGATGTCAGATGTCACAGATAACGTGATGTTTGACTAGGTTAAACATGCTATTATACAGGAACACATGCTGTTATGTGCAAATGTGTGTTCAGTCCAATTTAATTCACATTTATTTGTAAAGCGCTTCTCACAATACATTTCAAAGTTCATTTGTTTCAAAGCAGCTTCACAGAAAACAAATGTTTCTTCATTACATATAAGAGTGATATGTTATCATTGGTGACCGTATCACATAATGTCATGCAGTTTCCCAGCTAATAAAATGTTTTAAGATCATTTTGTTAACATTCTCTTTAAGTTATGAAAACGTTATTTCTGAAAGTTATCTGAATGTTCAAAACATTAAGTTTTTTAATAATTAACTTGGTTATGCAAGCGTGAAGGGGACATTCAATTTTATAATTTTGCAAACATTATGAGAATGTTTCTTTTAAATGTTCTATGAACGTTTTGAAACAAGTAATAGCACTTAAAAATGTTACAAGAACATCTAAATATAATGTTAAAAAAAAAACATTACATTCAGTTTTTTGAGAACTGAACAAATGTTCTATTAACGTTACTGGAAGAATGTTTGAAGAACTTGCCAGAATTTTAACCAAAGTTTTGAAAACGTTCCCTGTTAGCTGGGTAGTTGATGTCACATATTCATTTAAGCAGAAACAATGAACAAGTTAAAGCAATGATTACATGATGTGAAAGTTTTGGCAGTTTTTATGTTATAATAATAAAAATAATAATAATGAAGCATCAGTGCAAAACATGTTCTAGTTTCTTTTTGCTTGTGCACTTCGGTAAATTTGCTGTTGGACTGCTAAGTCTACCCTCCGAATGGGTTGGAGCCAAATTCCAGCTGATCCTTGAGTGCTAAAATTCAGTAAGGCCTGTAGAATGTAGCTATTTTAGCATTTAATAACTGATTTGTTTGTCGAACCTCAAGAATTGCATTAATTGTGTAGGCTTAGAATGACATTTGCTTAAAAGGAGTTTGCCAGAAGAATTTGGCAACTATTGCTCCAGTAATGCAGCTTGGGAAAATATGTCATTCTTTGTTGGACTGGAATGCTAGAAGAATTCACTTTGGCTTTTAACTGTCACATGACCTAAAGGAACCTATAAGTACCCTACTATGTAGGTTAGGCCCTTTGACCTAATTGAGGACCACGATCTGTGACCATAATTCACTTTTAGTTCACGCAGCTTTAAAGAAGACAAACCCCCTTAGCAGAATAAGCTAAGAGCAAATCCCGTCTCTTTCTTCAGATCTTCATTGCTATGTCAGAGGTAACTATCCAGTATACCTTCACATAACTTTGATCCAAAACCCTTTCTGGAACGTACTACTGTTTTCCAAACGTTGCTACGTAATCGCAGTGCATAAATGCATGCATATGAGTTCTCAGGTCCTAAAAGAGTGTTTTTAATTAAACTAGCCTACGTTTGTAAATGAAACCATGGAGCCCCTAAAACTTAAGACCCTTTGACAGAACACCAGAGAGCAGTTGCTGTGGCTACTTCTATATCAAACAGTAATAAAGTACCTTTCCATGGAAAAGCACACCCAGCCTGTCTGCATGTGAATGAGTGCTTGCTAATTGCTCCCAGCCGTCACCACATTCAGAAGGACTGGATTAGCCGACAGGATCAGCTGGATGTAAAAGTGGAAAGCTCAGCAACGGGTCGGATTGCACATTGCAGTATTTACAAACCTTTGGGACTGATAACAAACCTGTTCCTTAAAACCAGTAGTGGATTGTTCTGACTATAATATTTGCATGAGCCAAGATATAATAATACATATATAATTTTAACCAGTGACACAGTAAAAATTACAGTAAACACGCTGTAGAGATATGCTAGTTGAATGCACTGTTGTATTCAAGTCAAATTTGTTCTCACAATCCATCTGGCCTTATCTTCATCCTTCCACTCACTTTTCATTCAATCATGGACCCATTGTAGGTTCAGTCTAGAGAGTTTGAATCAAGCTGTTGTTTATAGAGGACACGTCCATCTCAGCCCAATGTTTATGTTTAGATAAAACTATTTAAACCAAAGTAGATGCTTTCCTGGGGGTTTAGATTGCGGAATTCAAAAGATTGTAGGATAACATCGACAATTATGCCTGTATGTAATGTAGACAACAGACTGACTTACAAAGAGTCTATAAAACTTCAAGCGACCTTCTGAAACCCACCACAAGACAAGACGGAACCTGTCCTGCAGTTAAACCGTGAAATGTGGGTGTCCTTTGTATGGATTCTGGTACCAAATGACATTCTATTTAGTCTTTCTTTACTGTCTGGATATGTGAGGTTTGGCCGGAGAAAAGACTGATTTCCATCTAGGGATAGCGAACACTGATTGTTTGTGTAGAAAACCCTGATCTCGGCTTGGATCTTGCTAGCGTTTAGACTGAGAGGCTGAGGTCACCATCTGTTTCAGCTTCCCTCAGATTCTCGTCTTTCTGAGTTTACCACTCATATCTTGATCATCCCAAAATAACTTCTGGAGTGACTGCGCAGAGGGAAACTAACACTTTTAAATGGTAATACATCATACAAAATAGTCCTTTTGGACGTTGATAGGAGTCATGCCTCTGTTGTCATGCACTGTAGAGTTACTGTGCCTTTGGGTGCTGGCGTTTGCTTTACACTATTAGTTACCTCAATAAAAATGGCCTGGTTAAAATAGATTCAAGTGTCAGAGGATAAAAACATTTATTTTATCACTTGTGCTTTTTGTGTTACATGAGGGTGTGTAAAAGTTTGAGTCTCAAACTGAATTAATTTTTTTAAATTACAGTCATCTTTGCAAAGTAATTCTTTAAAGTTACCTTGATTCAATGGGCTCTTAAAGTATAATTAAAGAGCAAACACTATACATGTAGCAATTTGTCATTACAGGTCTAGCCTTATAATTTAGGACAATTAGAGGACTGAAATGGCTTTATTCTCTGACCTTCCAAACCACACCCTCCCAGATGAGATCAAACATTAATGAGTGTAGTAAGGTGTGCACTGAGGTCATCCACACATTCACAGAAAACTCTTTGTGTTTATGTATAAGAAATTGTTGAAAGTTGATTTACGAGACATTCCACATGCCCTCATGTAACTGCTGGCACATAAACAGCGCATGTGTGCTGGGAACATGAGCCAATCCCGCTCAGCAAAGGAATGTGAGTAATGTCTAATGAAGGCTACGGCCCACAACCGGAAAAACCACAGGTTGCAGTCACCGGTCACCTCTGTGTCCCTCCTGCCAGACCCCATTGTTCAGTAGCAGAGTGGGCTTGGGAACGAGTTTCCTTGTGGACTGAGACATTTTAATACGCTTCTCGACATATTTTTAAAATAGTTTTTCTCTAGAATAGGCATTGTTTTTGTACTAATGTTAATTCAAATGAATTTCATGAGAAAATATAAAGATTTTTTAAGATGATGATTTTGTATTCATTTGTACGATGTGATTTATATGAACATTTATGAATTTTAGAAAAAAAAAATGTAAGCATGATGCTCTACCCCTAAAACTGTTGTAAACAGATCGTACAAAAATGTATGAATATCGTACAAACGTATAAAATTTAAGGCCCGTTTACACCAAAAACCAAATTCGTATGATGTGATTTGTATGAAAATGTAGGATTTTTAGAAAAAAAATTTAAGCATAAAACTCCACCCCTAAAGTTAACTGTTGTTAACAGATCATACAAAAACTTACAAATGGGATCGTATGAACTTACACAATTTAAGGCCCGTTCACACCAAGGACTATTACTATAAAGATAACTATAACGTTTAGTGCAAGCTCTTTAAGGGTATGTTTACATGATAGTGGTTATATTAAAAAGGGAAAAGTTTTTCCTTTGCATTTTCTAAAAGGTTCGCGTAGACTACAATGCTGTCAAAATGATCCCCGCAAAAATGGTTAAATGCTGTATAATGCATGCCGGGCCAGTAGTTGGCAATGTCACTTTGTAAAGAAACACGACACGCCTGCGCACATATGCATTCCTATAGACATATGAACACTTATGACATCACCATTTTCACAATTTTGCGTTTTCGTAGTTTACATGGAGACAGTAATGGTATCGTTTTCAAAAGTTTGCATTTTCAGGCTCCCAAAATGCCCTTTTGGCTGTGTAAATTAACAGCCAAAACGCATATTCCATTTTTAGCTGAAAATTGTGTCATGTAAACATCCTAAAGCTGGGTGGATTCCAATTGGCTGTCAATCGTTTATCACTGGAAAAAATCTTCCTGAGAGTGATTCCAGCAATATTGTTCTTCTGTGTCGTTGTTTTAGTTGTAGCATGGAATTTCCTATTCTCGTAGAATTAGAATGATTATTAAAACTTAATAGTTATAGGCCTAGTTATCATTTTGGGTATGAACGTGCCTTTAGCCACCAATTCACCAAAAGTTAAAATGACTTATTATGAATTGCTGTGAGATTGTGTTGGTTAATTTGACATAGTACTGACCTGCCACTGATGCCTTTGGTTTGCATGATTTGGCCGTTCCTTTTCTGACAGGGTATTTTTAGGTGTTCTCCATGTTCTTGGGTTTAAATTAAGAACTGTCCTTCCTCAAACTTCTTGAAAGCTGCAGTTTGTAGGGCGTGGTTACCCTGTCCTTGATCTACTGCAGATGTTGCTTGGATTTCACTCTTCGGAATCAGCTGTTTTTCTCTTGACTGGGTGGGGTGTTATCATATGTGATGCATTGTAAAATACAAAATATACATGTATAAAGTAGAAAATTGTTTGGAAACATAGTGCGCTAAAACCTCAAAAGTGGTGTCAACCCATTGTCACAGGTTCCTGTAGGTCACTGAACCAACCAAGTTCTCCCTTGCTATGATACACGCACTTGCACACATCTCTCACAGAAGTCTATCATCAAACTGTCTTCCTCTTTTACTCGGTTGGTCCTCATGTTTGCATTGGTCCACAGCTACACCCTTTCATATGGGCTTACTGCCTTGTATTAAATGCCCCAAACCTATATTTTTAGCTCAGATGGTAGACCTGCACCAACTTGAGAAGTAGTCCATGCTATGTTTCAAAGAAGGAAAATAAGAAAGCTTGCTTCTGTATGTTGCATACTTATAGAGGTAAGTGAACTTACATTTTAAAAGATTTCCAGTAGTATTTTTGCTCTTCAGACAGATAAAAAGGTATTATTAAAGGTAAGACTATCACTTATGACTTAATGAGATGCGCTCGAAGCCGTTATAAAATTGCCGCCACACTTAATTTGAATTCTGTATTAATACGCCAAGCGGCTGCTATAAATTGACAACAGAGTGAGTACAGATTAATGAACTATTTTACTCGGCGGAAGAATTGCTTGTCCTGATTATTTCTACTAATACATTATTATTATTATTATTATTATTATTATTATTATTATTGAGCATTGGTTTATTTTATAATATCACCCCCTATGTTTATGAAAGAAACTTTATTGAAAATAACTCTAATAAGGTGCGCACAGGTAGGGGACGCAACAGTGGACGAGGAACTGCCTTTGTGTGTGTGTTTGTGGGTGTGTTCGTGGGTGTGTTCTTTCCAGCTAGCCGCTCCGGTTCAGTCTACTGAACTCAGTAGTTTGAAAAGTGTTTGAGAAGGACTCGACCGGGCGCGTTTTCCGTGGCGTTTTAAAGTATTTAAAGTGGTTCCACGCTTCATACGTTTATTAGTTATATATAGCCTATTACATATTTAGCCATATACGGTAAAGTAATTTTGGAATTTGCCGACTGTTTCGTCTTTTAGGAAGCAATGGTTATACGGAGCGTCAGTGACTCGCGTTCACGTTTCGCAGCGTTGATTCACTAACCCGTTTGACTTTTTCATACAGTACTATTTTTGCGCACATATAAAACCTGTTTTTTGGATGTGTCAGAGTTTCTCTTCAAATGTCGTGGACGAGCACCATGAGTAGTGGATACAGTAGTTTGGAAGAGGATTCAGAGGAATATTTTTTCACTGCCAGAACTTCCCTGTTCAAAAAGCCTTCACTTAAACCCACGAACCTCAAGGTGAATATATTTACATTTTATATATATGTATGTATGTATGTATGTATGTATGTTTGTTTGTTTGTTTGTTTGTTTGGGAAGCCTTCGTGCCATATTGCTACAATGGCACAGCCATGTGTTGTAGTTTCTGTTTCAGATTTACAATCTATATATGTCAATACATAGGCTATACATATGAAGGCTATTAACTATATAGTGTATATTGGTATGCAGGGGGGATCAGCTGTTCCTTTTAAAATGTTGATAAAACTCTTCGAGCTTATGATTCATAGTGTTTTGAACAATAATTAACATAAGCATGACATACTGCATATGTTATTTAATTCGTTGCATATGTGAATGTCACAGTATGAGTCAGCTATTCCATCAGGCATGTCCTTGATATTTATGACCTTAAGATAATGCCTCTTTTGTGTCAGACTGTATTGAAGAAGTGCGGTTTAAAACAGTGAATGGACATAAGATGATTCAACACTCAGTTTTGCTTTGGCCACATGGCCATCTTATATAGGCTGTGTAATGGATTTAGCATAGTATTGCACACTCAACACTAGTTTGTTTTGTTTTATTATGCATATTATCTTTATTTAGGGTGTTATTTGATTGTATGTGACTTCTGGTTTGTTTAAAAGCATTACGTCATGCCATAATGGCTTGGAAGTTTGTTGAAGTAGGCCAGTCTCAGCTCATGAAAGCTGTTTTGTTCAGTAACTTTTTCATGCTTCTCAATTAGCTGACATCAGCATGCCCATATCAAAGACAACTGCTCATAATTTCACAGTTTTATTGCCTGTCTCAGTCACTAATAAAACTAACCAGTGTGACTGACCACATGTGATTTGAATATGGCCTCTACACAGTCATGTGTGACAGTAAAGGGGGCTCAAAGAGAAAAGATTCACAGTATCACCCCCGCATTTCTGTCAATTACCCGATTGTGAGAAAAATGTCAGTGGAGAGACGTTTTCACAAAGTTAATGTTGTCATGTGACTTCCATTTTCCAGGGGGAAATTGTTGCAGATTGTTTTAGTGGGTTTCTAGGGCTCTGTTCCAAAACCTAGTGAGCTGCCTTCATAGGCAGCATTTTAAGGCATAATATAGTGGCTGCCTTTACAGAGAAGGCAATCCCAGGATGCATTGCAGCAAGTGTTATACTATTTATACTATACTTTACATTTTAGAATGTAACTGACTCTATAGTCTGTAGAAAGCAACACAGCTAGATTTTTTTGAGTCTGTTATTAAGTCTTGACATATAAAATTCCAAACTTTTATAATGTGTTCGCTGCACATGTGGTGTGAAATGACCATCCATCGTGTAAAGTAGCAGCTGTAGAAGGAATTGCTCAAAAAGCAATGAATCGGTTCCTTAAACAGCCAGGCACATTGCTATAGCTCACTTCCTGTTACTTCATTCTGACAAAGATGCCCCCCACTCCCTCCAAACTATTTCATCATCAGCAAAGCTAACCCAAAATCTGGCTTTTCTCAGAAGGGCACTTCAAAGTATGTGCAAGATACAAATAGATACGTAGAGTCTACAAAATGTGTGTGCAACATTTTAGTGAGCAGAAATGCCCTGTACTTCATCTGTTTTGTCACCTCTTGCATGCCACAAATGCATTGACCCTGGGAAACAGCTGCTGGGGCAGGCATGCAAAACAGCAGGATCATGGGGGTTTGTGTGGGACACAGCGCTCAGTTCATAGAGAGAAACGTTTAGACCATAATGGCTCAGTTTATTGGCGTAAAATCATTACTGTTTATTTTGTTGCATCATTTAATTTATTTTATTTTAATTTCAGAATGCAATACAGGTGCACTTTAAACATTTAGGCTTTTTAGCAAAGCAACAACTGCATTCACCTTCCTTTAAAGGGATAGTTCACCCAAAAATGAAAATGGTCATCATTTATTCGCATTGAGTTTCAATGGCTACCGTCAACTGTTTGCCAACATTCTTCAAAATATTTTATTTTGTGAAGAAGAAAGAAAGAAACTCACACAGGTTTGGAACAACTTGAGGGTGAGTAAATTATGATAGACTTATCATTTTTGGGTAAACAATCCTTTTAAGCAGCCATTAATCTTCACACTGGAAGAGAAAGTGTGAATTGTGTTGTTGAAGTTGCTGAAACAGTTTTCCTGGCTTTCAGAGAGATTTGCTTTTTTTGGACAGTGTAGGGGAAAAGTCCTGACAGTGTTGAAGAGGGACAGACGTTATCTACAGTCTGCAGGCTGTTTTTATAAATCAGAGCCTGGTTGAGCGGAAATTAAATTAGCGATTGTATACAAACAGGCAAAACTCAAAATGGCCTGTTGTGGGTGAATACAGAAGCCACTACTGTACCTGCAGATTACTGCAGTTGTGTGCATGGTTTGTGCTTGACGGCATTGGCCTTGAATATTCACATGCTTTGCCAACACAGGCACTGAATGCACAAAGAAACTTAGCTCTGAACTCTTGTGAAAGTTTCTCATCCATTTTTTAGAGGTTTTCCTGAGATTTCTGCTTGGCATGTTTCATCTCAGATACTGAGGCACTTTGAGTCAGTGTGTCAATTCATCATTAGGGATCAAGTGATCGGTCAAATTATGTGGACCGATAATCACGTTGATGATGTGCATTGCATTGCAGTTCATGCACTCACTGATCATTAGATGAATACTTTCATGTCAGCCTCACTCAGAAAGATAAAACTAAATCTCAAGGATGTTAAAGCAAACCTGTGCTGACTCCAGTCTGAGTTTACACAAATCCTTCGTAGACGCCTACTTGCTGTAAATCCAGGCAGAGCAGTTAAGAGAATAATATGTGTGCCGGAGACGATAATATTCACAGAACCGAAACTAAATGTTTATTTCACACTGCCCATATCTCCTCAAACAAACCAGAATAGACATTTATAGACTAGTAAAACATTTTCCACAGTTACGTACAATTCTTGAACAGACCACCAAAAGCCTTAGCATTTAAAAGAAGGATTACATTGCAAAGAATGACTGTTTTATAATAAATAATCCGACCATTTATAGCAGCTATTTAGATATAACTAGATTTGAGTAAAGCCTGGCTTTGTAAATCTCACAGAACTTGTTAAAAGCATGTCATTTCACTGCAACATTCACTCATTAAAAATATACTGTGCTTTCAAATAAAATGCAATAAAATAAATAATAAAGCCACTTTTTAGGGCCATTATTTAATAACAAATAAACACATTTTCTCCTCAAAATAGAGAATACATTATTCTAGTATTTGTTGTACTGCCTTTAATTTATGCTAAAATAAAAAATTAAAAGTACTGTATTAGTCTAATATATGAATCATCATTATCATTTAGAGAATTACAAAATTTTAAGTAATACTGTAATGAGTAATCTAGTAAAGTAATCTAGTATTGAGAATTTGGCAGTAAAGTGCTTAAATAATATCACTATGCAAATAATCTTTTTGGTCCTGTAAATAGTTTATTTAATAATTTATGCAAAATTACATTTATGAAATGTGACCTGGACATGTTCTATAATAAATGCTAGTGGTGTCAGAACTTCACATGAGGGAAACTGTTTAGAGAAGGTGTTGTGGAGCGTACATGCTGTTTATACTGCAATTGTGGAGCGAAAAACAAACTTTTCTCCAGACATAGCATGTTAAGCCACGTGTTGCTCCATTCATACCCTGCAAACTCTCTTTTTGTGCTTCTGTTTTGTCTGAGTTCATGGTTTGTGTTGTGCCCTTGCATCACAGAATGGAAAGAATTCCACTGTGTTTGTTCATCTGTCATGGCTGATTAAGTCACTGTTACATGAACAGATTGACAGGTTTGAGTGGTTTCAGATCTTGCATTACACAAAGCTGAATTATTAAGAAATCAAAACAAATGCAGAATCTCACAGAGGTCTGAAGCAAAATTTTTGACTGTTTTGGGACTGTTTAGGGAAGCATCAGAATACAAGGCTCCAGTAGGCCACTATGTTTGTTTTCATCAGGCATCAAGCACAGCTCTATAGAGAGCATTGCCACTTAATCTGATTAGTCTACAAAGTAGCATTGTGCGTCATGGAGCAGTATTTGATTATCGTCCAGGTGTGTGTGTCTCCTGTCGTCTATAATAAGCTGCCTTTGATTATATAAATATTTTACAGCACCTAACCAAAGTCTACACCTAGTTTCCAGCATAAGTAGTTGCATACCATGTCAGTGCATGAACTACCAACCATTAAACCCCCTGTCAATCTGATTGCTTGTGTGTTTAAGAGGTCTTTGATTTTCCTCGAGCTTTGAAAATAGGCCAAAAGTTGACATTTACAGACATGTACAATTACATCCAATTCTCTCCTTCTCACTGTTCGTGGTCACGACTCTGTTGTACTCATGTGGATCCACATGTAGAGCATCTAGTTGCAGTTTCTCAGAGAAGAGCTGTAATTACAGTAAGGAAGATAAGGCCAGATGAAGGTGGTTGTTTTTTGGTCTCGCATGTTACGGTTCACCGGCTGAATGTCACACAAAACCTCAGCCTAGTCAGCAAATAAACTTTCCAACTGACATTGGGAGCACATGTCATGGTTTGGGAGTTAATTGTTGAAGTTTGGAATCTATGCAAAATTAAGCTGTTATGCTTATGTATGCTAATGTTGTTAAAGATCAGTTTTTTTTTTTTGGTTAGTTTTTTTTTTTCAGTTAGAGATATGGATCCATCAGGAAACAAGCTTAGACTCTAGTGCTGTGTTCAAAATATCGATACGACGATGTATCGTCACAGAGATTTGACGATACGAGTATCGATACAGCTGGCCCTGTATCGATATTGTGGCACGTGTGCAGCAGTGGACCACGCTTAATTTTACAACGTTTAAAATTGAGTAGAAATGTGCGAGGTTTCTAAAAAAGCATGAAGAGCATCTGTTAATAATCTGACCGCAGAGGAACACAACTGGGTTGCCTGATATAAAGAGACGTAATCCCCAAAACAGAGCTTTACACTTGCGCAAT